GATCGGGAGTCTCTCGGGGGCGTCTGGGGAGGAATTCGGGGGCCTCTTGGGAGCCTCGTGGGAGCCTCTTGGGAGCCTCTTGGTGGCCTCTTCGGGCTTCCTTCGGGACCTCTTTTGGGGCCTCTTGGGGCCTCTTGGGAACCTCTTGGTCGCCTCCTGGGAGCCTCGTGGGGCCGAGGGCTCGAAATGTCCGTTCGGGTCCCCCGTCCGGGCACGCTCTTGGAGCTGTCTAGGGGGCCTCTTTGGCCCTCTTGGAGGCCCTATGCCGTCTTGGGGCGACCTTGGGGGCCTCTTGCGCCGTCGTGGAGCGGTGGGCGTTTGACACGGCGAGAACATCCAAATCTTCAAAAGCCCAGTGGAAAGTTAATGAATATAGCCTCTTAGGGCCCTCGGGAGTGCTCTTGGAGGCGTCCTGGAGACCTCCTGGGCAGTTTGGAGGGCGTGAAGACGTTTTGGACCGATCGCTTGCCGATGAGGGACCCTCTTGGACCGTCTCGGTGGCCTCTTGGGGCACTCTTGGCCTGTCTTGGTCCTTTCTGAGGCCCCAGGGCCCCCATGGGGGGATGCGTATCTGACCTCCCCCCCCCCGACGGGGGAGGGATCACAGGGAAGGGGCTTCTATTCGACTCGATTACGACATTGCTAGATTGTCCTCTCGCTGACAAGCTTGAGGAGGAGGGTGCAGGGTAAAGGGACGACGGAGACGACGACTGACGGAGACGACGACTCGAACAGACGAGCCCCTCACACACGCCGACAGGATCGGCGGATTCTCGATTTGTCCTCACCCGGATGGATCCTCGTCCTGTCTTCGCCCTAGGACTCCAGGGCACCTCCCAGATGGCGTCCGAGCAGCTGGGGTCCGAGGGTCGCGCCGCCTCGCCGATGCATCGGCGAGGCAGGACCACGTGGCCACCGGCTTATCTCTACGCTCTACGCCGACGTCGCAGATGCATCGCAGGTGCATCGGCGGCCCCCCATCCGTCCGAGGAGGAAAGGGAGGAGTAGGAAAAGGAGGAGGAGGGGGAGGAGGGGGAGGAGGAGGAGGAGGAGGAGGAGGAGGAGGAGGAGGAGGAGGAGGAGGAGAAGTAGAAGGAGGAGGAGGAGGAGGAGGGCAAGGAGGATGATGAGGCGGAAGAGGAGGAGGAGGAGGAGGAGGAGGAGGAGGAGGAGGAGGAGGAGGAGGAGGAGTTGGAGGAGGAGGGGGAGGCAGAGCACAATCCATGACACGACATCTGTAGGTATGCAGGATGGTGTCGATGGCCTTTGGGGGCCTCCAAGAGCGGAGATCATGCAAGTTTGAATATCAGAATGTCGGGCCCGCGTCGTCAGGGGAGGAACTTGTCGTGCTTCATCAAGGGTGGCCCTTGTATTATTGTTGCTTTTGTTATGGTCATCCTTGTTTCAGCACGGACGCCGTCGCAAGCGTCTCAGCGTGGACGTCTAAGAAAATATGATATCTTTGCAGTGCATCCTAGTACGTGCTCCTATGCTCTTGGCATCGCGTGTGCATTTTTTTCTCGGCGAGGACCATCGGGGAGCATTATAGGACCATCTTGCGAACAAAGTGCACACACATAATCGAAACATGCGCGGGGAATGAACGTCCGAGCGATGACGAGTGTTTGACTGCACTTGGGGAAGTCACGTGCAGTTGGGGGGGAAATCGTGGCCACGTCGGGCGGACAAGTCTCACAAGCTATGGCCAGGCTATGATTCAGTTATTCAGGAGGCTTACGCCTTGTCGTTGACCCCCAGAAGAGCATATACGCGGCTTCCGATGTCGTATGTGCAGTTTCTTGTTTCCCGTCGTGCTGCTTGCGTGTAGTTCTTATTTTGTCCCTTCCCCTCCCCCTCTTCTTCTTCGTCTTATTATTCGTCTTCTTCTTCTTCTTCTTCTTCTTCTTCTTCCGCGTCTGTTCCGGGGCGTCCTGGGGGCCGCTTGGAGGCCTCGAGGGCATCGTGGGAGCCAGTGCTTTTGGGGGCCGTTGGAGGCCCTCTGGGGGCTTCTTGGGGGCCTCGTGGGCATGTTGGGGATCCCCGGGGGCCATCTTCTGGGGCAGGGCTCCCGGGGCACCCGCGGGTTCCCCCCTCTTGGGATGGGACCCCTCCTGGGCCCTCTCGAGGGCTTTTCTGGGCCGTCGGGGGAGCCTCTTAGGCCTTAGGCTCAAGTCGGGCGTGCCCCTCTCCAGGAGGAGAGTTCAAACATTGGCAAAAGAGGGGTTGAGGAAGATGCTTCTAGCATTTTGGATTGTTTTGCGTATTGTTCGATTATTCTTTTCCGCCCAAAATCCGCCCGTAGGGGGATACGCCGGGCAGGCCTTAGGCCGTCTCGGGGGATCCTTCTGCCTTCCCTGGAGGCGTCTTGGACCTTCGCGTGGCGGTCTGGGGGGCACGGCGCGGGCCGCCCAGGGCTTGCGCAAACCAACAGAAGGCGAGAGCGCGAAGGCGCTCACGCTTTTCACAGGGGAGATCTCTTAGACCTGAGCCCCCTGTCTGGGCCTCCTAGACGGGGTCGGAGTAGATGGGGTCGGAAGATCTTACCGCCTCGCCGATGCATCCGCAATGCATCGGCGATGCGGCTCGATGTGGGGCCCAATGTTCTCCACGCCGACGTCGCCGATGCGTCGCCGACGTCGCCAGTGCGTGGCCGATGCATCGCCGATGCATTCGCGATGTATCGCCGATGTATCGGCGATGCGGCGAGATCCTCCGACCCCACCTACTCGGACCCCATCTAGGAGACCTCTATCCTGGCTATCTACCTCCTGGGGGTTCTCTTGGGGCCCCCTTTTGGAGCGACTTGGGGGGGCCTCCTGTGCGGCTTCTTGGACGCATCTGGCCCTGCTTCAAACACGCGCCCCCATGGCCTCGACGTCTTCACAGGGAAGTTTTGTGCGTCCCATCGCGCAGGTTGGATGGACAGAGACCCGGAACCTCCTCCACCCGAGGTCTCGAAGAGTGAAACCTCTTCCACCTTTGGAGGTCTTTTGAGCTTCTCTGGTGGCTTCGCCGGACGGAAATAAAAATACACGTGGAGAGAAGTTTGTGTCGGACGAGAAGGGGGGAATCCATTCGGACCGCTGAAGACGGAAACCTTTTTGTTGGGGAGGGGCTCCGTGTTCCTGAATTGGTTTGCAGTGTTTCTTGGGTTGTCCACAGGTTCCCTGTGGGAAGTCGAAGTTTAACTTATGGGAGAAGGGGGCCTCAACTACACAGTGGAGACCCATGCCAAGAAACACCCTGCTTGCCTCCAGGGTGCCCTGGGTTTCTTGGGTTTCGATGGTTTTGCTGTGGAAAGCGTGACCCTCCCACACCAAAAACCAGTGGACGCCCAGGGGTCTTGGGTTTCTTGTGGAAGGTTTCTTGTGGACTGGCCTCCACTGCATCAGCTGCGTGAGCTGATTCGCTAATCCACCCTTTGTTTTTCCCCCTTTCGCAGGGCTCATGTGGATTCCTCGTGTTCGATTCGATTCTAGTTCGATGGCTCCCGATTCCGATCCGATTCGATTTGGAATTCTGATCTCGGTTCCCGTTTCCTATCGGAGGCTTACTAGCTTGCCGATCTCCGCCGATTCGACTATGACTATTCCCGATTCGGCTGCCGATTTCAGCCGATCCGATTCGGTTCGATCGCCGTTCCGACGCATCGATTCGATCATGGGCCCTCCTGCTGTCGTCCGATCCGAGAGTCCGGCTTCCAGGCTGGAGGAGCTGGGTCACCCCCCCGCGGTCGGAGGCGACGACAGGGGCGACTGGCCGAGGGTCGGGCATTGGGCGCACTCTTCCGGGAGCCTCGCCGAAGGCACGGACGATCGGCGCTCCTGGATACTCCGGATTCCAAAATAAAGTGAGGGGGTCACATTTGGGGGGGGGTCTGATTTGAGCTGTCTTGGAGGGTTCGGGGGGGTCTGGGCAAAGGGCCGCCCTTTCATGGATGGTCTGGGGGGGTCTAAGACTTCTCGTCTGGGAGGGTTGTGACCCCCTCCCTTTTATTACGAAATCTGGGGTACAGACGGTTCACCCCTGGGCCATCGTCGCCCCCGACAGGGGGCACGAGGGCGGTCGCGCCTCGCGCGCCGCGGCCCGGGCCGCAGACGCGCCCTCTTGCAGGTCGGCGTCACGGGAGCGCGAAGACAGCCGCGTGTCGCGCATCGCGGTGTGCGGCCCCCGAGTCGGGCCGGGCGGGAGGGCAGGATTGGGGATCGGGGGCCTCGAGGCGGCGGTCAATGCGAACGGGGGTCAGCCAGAGCGCCTGATCTTGCAGGATCCTGCAGGGCCAGGGTCGCACCGACCCGGGCTCGGGTGCAGGATCCCGCGGGATCCTGCAGGATCTTGCGGGATCCTGCAGGGATCCTGCGGGATCCTGCAACGCCCGACTGACCCGCGTCTGGGTCGACGCAGGTCAGCAGATCCCCGAGGGAGCGGGCGGGTCTACGAGATTTGCTGCACGCAGCTGAATTCCGCCCCGCCGCCAGGCGCCTTTCCCGGACATCTGAGCGCCCCCGGGCGCCGGGAGGCACCTGGAAAACCAGCCACGTGAGCCGATTCTCTGCCCTGCCCGTGGCTATCCTACCCTGTCGTCTCCCCCGATCGAAGCCGGCCGGGCGGCGTTCAGAGTGGAGGAGAACACCTTCCAGAGTTGATGTCAAGGCTCCTCCTTGTTTGTTCCTCGCCTTGTGAACACCTTGCCAGTGGCCCGCTAGCACAGTTTGTTCCTTTTCGTCCTCCTCTTCTCTCCTCCTCCTCCTCCTCCTCCTCCTCCTCCTCCTCCTCCTCCTCCTCCTCCTCCTCCTCCTCCTCCCCCTCAACCTCCTCCTCGCCTCCCCCCGTTCTAAATCCTGCCTCTCACTCTCTCCTCGTCCTGCTCCTACCCCTTCTTCCTCCCACCTTGTACTGGAATCATCTGTGGTCATATGTTCACAAGCCATTGTTGCGGAAAGCTTCAAGCCCAAATTGAGCAGAGGGTGGATTGTGAGCACTCGTTTCTTTCTGCCCTAATGGCGAAGCACATCATTTTCGGCAATACTGCTCAGCTAAACCGCTTGGGCACGTGGGATTGGACCTTCTACGTTCGGCCCGCAGATTTTGTCGAAGAGGTTGTCGTCACATTGCATCCAACCTTCGCGAATCCAGTGCGCAATCTGCAAGGGCCCAAACTGGAGCTGCAATGCAGTGGTTGGGGTACCTTCGAGTTGAAGGTGGACATCTGTTGGCGAGGTGGAGGACGGCTGCAGACAACGTGGAAATTGATGTTTGACCCGGACCAATCAGACTTCAATAACGAGATCGAGGTCCCCGCCGAGGTGCTCGCAGGGATGACACATCATCACGGCTCTGCGGAGCCACCTGACGTCGAGATGGCCTCATTCGATGCACCTTCTTCTTGACGGAGGAAAAACGGCATCACCTAAACTTTCGGAGCTCCGCGCGGATACCTCGGATCTGTGCTGGACCCCCCTGGCGGTGCCCCCAGCGCCGCCCTGGTGCGCGCCCCCTGCGCCAGGGATGGGGGGATCCAGCGCGGATCCAGGAAAACCGCGCCAGACCTCCAAAAGCGTATACACGCCGGTCGTTGAAAGTAAGTATTTATGGATTCAAAGGTCCCAATATATTCGAAGCGCTTTCCTACTTCAAGAACCGGCATGCTTTTGCTGTGTTTTGGTCTGGGAGCGCATGAGTCCAATCTACTTTCTCCGCCTTCCTACTTCATGTTCTTACCTACTTCTTCCGACCGATGTGTGTGACCGTGCCGCTTTTCGTTCCTGTAACGTTGCCCTCGGCTGCGCGCACGAGCGGCTTTTGGCGGGAGCTGCCTCTGGTGCGGGCACGCCGGGGGGGCCCGAACGGCAGAGTGCACGATGCGACGGCAGCGGCTCGCGCTTTCTCCGGGTTGGCCTTCCCGCGCCCCCCCCGAAAGCAGCGCGCCAGGGTCGATCTCGCCCAGGGTCGCTCTTGCCCGTATCGGCGGCGAGCGAGGGGGGGAAGCGAGAAGGAGGAGGCCGTCTCAGAAGAATCGGACGCCCCCCAGCCTTCTGAGAAGTTGCTTCCAAGCCTTCCTCGAAGGCACACAGAAGGCTCCTCGGAAGGCACGAGGGCCTCCGAGAAGCCCCGCCGACTTTTGAGAGGGCCTCTTCCGTCTCAGTTTTTGTCCCCTTTCGCTCGCCGCCGATGGTGGCTGATGTCTGTCCCTTTTGCCCCCCGGGAGGCCGCAGAGAGCGCCAGGCTCGGGGGTGGACAGAACCCCCAACAGCGACACGTCGATCAGTGGATTGTCCGTTTTCGGTTCTCGAGAGGGCGCCGTGGCCGCCGTTTTCCAGGCTGGCGCCCGCCAGGTCTGGGCCTCAGGTCGTTTTCTCCAAACCACGTTTTACGAAAGGGGGGCCTGTCCATCCCCGACAGGCCTGCCCTGCTGGCGCAGCTGGCCGCGGCCCCCGCCGTGGACCCCGGCGGCGACCCGCGGGGCCGGGCCTGGCATGGCCGGCTCGTGCGGCAGGAGCTCCCCAGGCCTCGGGGGCCACGGCAGTCGCCGAGCGCGTTCCACTGCTCTTGGCATCGCTCGGACGTGTGCATTTTTCTCTCGGCGAGGACCATCGAGGAGCGTCCTTGATCATTTGGCGAAAAACCGCGCACGAAACCGAAAAAAACACAGGGAATGGACGTCCGAGCGATGGCCAGTGCTCGAACCCCTCCCTCTCCATTCTCAGGGCTGATGGGCCCAGGTTCCACCACCACTGCCATGGGTAGGAGAGGGAGGAGGAGGAAGAGGAGGAGGAGGAGGAGGAGGATCTCCTCATCCTCCCTCCTCCCCCGTCCTACATATGGTAGTGGTGGTGGGAAGCTGGCCAATCAATGGCGCCAACATCGCAGAGCTGATTCTTAGGCTTACGCCACACCGCCGACCCCTTGTTTATGTCAATCTGGGGGTAGTAGAAGCTGCGAAGGGGTGAAAAGGCGAGTGATATTTGTTTGGTGTCTGTTCGCCGCCACCGCCAGAGGGTCTCGGGCAGTTCCGCGGGGAGGTCCGAGCGGACGGCGACACCGCGAGTTTTGGAGCCACTCGGGGGCCGTTTCGGAGCCTTTGGGGTGCTTCTTGGTGGTTCCTTGGGGCGTCTGGGCGGCCTCGTGAGGGCCTCTGGGGGCCTCTTGGGGCACTCTTGTGGCCCCCTGGGGCTCCTGGGGGCAGAACACTAGAGTTTCAACATGTTTGGTCGCCCTCTTGGGCCCCTATTGGTGCCGTCTTGGAGCCTTCTTGGGCCGTCTTGGGGACCTCTTGGGCCGTGTTGGGGCCGTCGTGGGCCGTCTGGAGGCCGTCTTGGGGGCCTCTTGGGCCATCTTGGGGCTGTCTATGGGGCCTCTTTGGCCGTCTTGGAGCGTCGGGAAGCCGAAAAGGCGGAAAAGCAAAAAACATCGAGAAACACCATGGAAAATCAACAATTGTAGACTCTTGGGGCCCTCTTGGGAGGGTTGTTTGGGACCTCGGGGGCCGTCTTGGAGTCCTCTTGGCTCGTCTTGGGGCCATCTTGGGCGTCTTGGAGCGGTCGTTTGGCGTCTCGCGGCCTTCGTGGGCCGTCTTGGAAGTCTTTTGGGGGCTTTTTGGCCCGTCTTGAGGCCCTCTTGGGCCCGGAAAAGCCTCGTGAACCGTTCGTCCCGGCCGTGCTGCGCTCGTCCCGGCCGTACTGCGCTCGTCCCGTACCCCCCCCCTTCCAAATCGACCGGACCGGGCTCCCGGGGGAGGGGTCAGGGGAGGGGGAAGCATCTCACACGCCGATGATCCCCAAGGGGTCGGCGGATTTTTGACCAATGATTGTTGCTCCTTCTGGATTATTTTTGATGTTTATTCGGTCGACTAATGTTAGTTCTCCTTCCAAATCCGCCTGCAGGACCGTAGGAGGAGATTCCCGACCTGGCCCTAGATGCATGCAAGTTGTTTGCTTGACAGCTGTGTCTCGAGCTCGGATTTCCTTCTTTCCAGGTGGTCCTGTGTGGTGGCCCTGGCCTCTGGCCATCCAGGCCTCCCCTTGCCCCCCTCTCCCCAAAAGGCCTCGGATTGTTCTGTCGTCGTCGTCGCCATCTGTTCCTTCTCCTCTTTGTCCTCCTCCTTCTTATCTTTCTCTTCCTCCTCATCCTCCCCTGGCCCGAGCGGCCCCACTGCGTTGAGACAGCTCGAGGCTCGGATCCTGCAGGTGGGGCGCCTGACCCTGGCGTTGCCGCGGGGCTTCGTTCCACGTGCACGAGTGGCCCGTTGCGGGAGTGGCCTGCGCTGCGAGCCAGCGGGGGCCCAGATCCTCTTCCTCCTCCTCCTCCTCCTCCTCCTCCTCCTCGTCCTCCTCCTCCTCCTCCTCCTCCTCCTCCTCCCCTCACGTCGTGAATGGGTCGCGGCAGAACACTAGAGTTTCAACATGTTTGGTCGCCCTCTTGGGCCCCTATTGGTGCCGTCTTGGAGCCTTCTTGGGCCGTCTTGAGGACCTCTTGGGCCGTGTTGGGGCCGTCCTGGGCCGTCTGGAGGCCGTCTTGGGGGCCTCTTGGGCCATCTTGGGGCTATCTTTGGAGCCTCTTCGCGCGTCTTGGAGCGTTGGGAAGCGGGAAAGGCGGAAAAGCAAAAAACATCGAAGAACACTATGGAAATCAAAAATTTTAGACTCTTGGGGCCCTTTTGGGAGACTTGTTTGGGACCTCGGGGGCCGCCTTGGAGACCTCTTGGCCCGTCTTGGGGCCATCTTGGGCGTCTTGGAGGGGTCGTTTGGCGTCTCGGCGCCTGCGTGGGCCGTCTTGGAGGCTTCTTGGAGCCTCCTTGGCCCGTCTTGAGGCCCTCGTGGGCCCGGAAAAGCCCTGGAACCGCTCGTCCCGGCCGTGCTGCGCTCGTCCCGGCGCCCTCCCCCCCTCCAAATCGGCCCTCTTGGGCCGTCTTGGTGACCTCTTGGGCCGTCTTGGGCCGTCTGGAGGCCGTCTTGGGAGACTCTTGGGCCATCTTGGGGGTATCTTTGGGGCCTCTTTGCCTGTTTTGGAGCGTCGGGAAGCCGGAAAGGCGGAAAAGCAAAAAACATCGAAAAACACTTTGGAAAATCAGCAATTTTAGACTCTTTGGGCCCTCTTGGCACATTTGGGACCTCAAGGCTGTCTTGGAGACCTCTTGGCCCGTCTTGGGGCCATCGTGGGCGTCTTGGAGCGGTCGTTTGGCGTCTCGGAGCCTTCGTGGGCCGTCTTGGAGGCCTCTTGGGGGCTTCGTGGCCCGTCTTGAGGCCCTCTTGGGCCAGGAAAAGCACCGTGGATCGCTCGTCCCGGACCCCTCCCCACCTCCAAATCGGCCCTCTTGGGCCGTCTTGGGGACCTCTTGGGCCGTCTTGGGGCCGTCTTGGGCCGTCTGGAGGCTTGGGGGACTCTTGGGCCATCTTGGGGCTATCTTTGGGGCCCTCTTCGCGCGTCTTGGAGCGTCGGGAAGCCAGAAAGGCGGAAAAGCAAAAAACATCGAAAAACACTCTGGAAAATCAACAATTTTAGACTCTTTGGGCCTTCTTGGGGAGCTCATTTGGGACCTCAAGGCCGTCTTGGAGACCTCTTGGCCCGTCTTGGGGCCATCGCGGGCGTCTTGGAGCGGTCGTTTGGCGTCTCGGAGCCTTCGTGAGCCGTCTTGGAAGCCTCTTGGGGGCTTCGTGGCCCGTCTTGAAGCCCTCTCGGGCCAGGAAAAGCCCCGTGGATCGCTCGTCCCGGCCCCCTCCCCCCCTCCAAATCGGCCCTCTTGGGCCGTCTTGGGGACCTCTTGGGCCGTCTTGGGGCCGTCTTGGGCCGTCTGGAGTCCGTCTTGGGGGAGTCTTGGGCCATCTTGGGGCTATCTTTGGGGCCTTTTCGCGCGTCTTGGAGCGTCGGGAAGCCGGAAAGGCGGAAAAGGAAAAAACATCGAAAAACACTCTGGAAAATCAGCAATTTTAGACTCTTTGGGCCCTCTTGGGAAGCTCATTTGGGACCTCAAGCTGTCTTGGAGACCTCTTGGCCCGTCTTGGGGCCATCGTGGGCGTCTTGGAGCGGTCGTTTGGCGTCTCGGAGCCTTCGTGGGCCGTCTTGGAGGCCTCTTGGGGGCTTCGTGGCCCGTCTTGAGGCCCTCTTGGGCCAGGAAAAGCCTCGTGGATCGCTCGTCCCGGACCCCCCCCCCCTCCAAATCGGCCCTCTTGGGCCGTCTTGGGGACCTCTTGGGCCGTCTTGGGGCCGTCTTGGGCTGTCTGGAGGCCGTCTTGGGGGAGTCTTGGGCCATCTTGGGGCTATCTTTGGGGCCTCTTCGCGCGTCTTGGAGCGTCGGGAAGCCGGAAAGGCGGAAAAGCAAAAAACATCAAAAAACACTCTGGAAAATCAGCAATTTTAGACTCTTTGGGCCTTCTTGGGAAGCTCATTTGGGACCTCAAGGCCGTCTTGGAGACCTCTTGGACCGTCTTGGGGCCATCGTGGGCGTCTTGGAGCGGTCGTTTGGCGTCTCGGAGCCTTCGTGGGCCGTCTTGGAAGCCTCTTGGGGGCTTCGTGGCCCGTCTTGAGGCCCTCTTGGGCCAGGAAAAGCCCCGTGGATCGCTCGTCCCGGACCCCCCCCCCCCTTCAAATCGGCCCTCTTGGGCCGTCTTGGGGACCTCTTGGGCCGTCTTGGGGCCGTCTTGGGCCGTCTGGAGGCCATCTTGGGGGACTCTTGGGCCATCTTGGGGCTATCTTTGGGGCCTCGTCGCGCGTCTTGAAGCGTCGGGAAGCCGGAAAGGCGGAACAGGAAAAAACATCGAAAAGCACTCTGGAAAATCAGCAATTTTAGACTCTTTGGGCCCTCTTGGGAAGCTCATTTGGGACCTCAAGCCGTCTTGGAGACCTCTTGGCCCGTCTTGGGGCCATCGTGGGCGTCTTGGAGCGGTCGTTTGGCGTCTCGGAGCCTTCGTGGGCCGTCTTGGAAGCCTCTTGGGGGCTTCGTGGCCCGTCTTGAGGCCCTCGTGGGCCAGGAAAAGCCCCGTGGATCGCTCGTCCCGGACCCCCCCCCCCCTCCAAATCGACCGGACCAGGCTCCCGGGGGAGGGGTTTGGGGAGGGGGAAGCATCTCACACGCCGATGATCCCCAAGGGGTCGGCGGATTTCGTTTTGAAAACGACGGGATGGGCCCGGAGTGTCCTGGAGAATTGCGTTCCAGATTTCGAGGTGAGTTTCGTGCGGACTTTTTTTTTGCCAGGAAAGAAGATTAAACGAAACATCCACGCGAAATTCACTCCGTTTTTCACTCGCCGTAACGGGGTTTTGTATTGACAGAAATCCATGCAAAAATCCGCTGCAGCACGTCTGCAAGGTCGGCGCAGTGAACATTCGGCCACGCGCAGAGAGGGGTAGGGGGAGGCTTCTCAGAAGCACCCCTGCTCCTTAGAAGGCGCGGGCCTTTTGCTGTAGATGTACGGCCGGCGCCTTCTAACAAGCAGCCTGCCTCTAAGAAGCCTTCCCCCCTCCCCCTACCCCCCTCTGCGGAGAACGGGGGATTGTGGAGTCCCTGTGGTTCCAAAGCGCGCGCGCGAGGCTTTCGCGATGAGTTCGCGACTGTTTCTGTGCAAACTCTGCTCTGTGTCCTCCTTCTTCTCCTCCTCCGCCTCCTCCTCCTCCTTCTCCTCCTCCTCCTCCTCCTCCTCCCTCTCCCCCTCCTCCTACCTCTCTGCCTTTTTTTTTCTCCTGGCGTCCCCCCTCCCCCCCAGATATTTTTTGTTTTTTTATGGGGGGGGGATGCAGGAGAAGAAAAAAAAAGGAATGCGACGTGGCCACATCTGCCCTCCCCCCTAGAAGGATTCCTAGTGAACGCCCCCATAAGGAGGATTCACAGTGAAATCCTCGATAGAAGGGTTCCTATCGAAACCCTCCACTGAATGATTCCTACTGAAATCCTCCACATGTGGATTCCTACTGAAGCCCTCCACTGAATGATTCCTACTGAAATCCTCCAAGGGCAATGGCAATGGCAATGGCAATGGTAATGGTAATGGTAATGGTAATGACAGTGGTAATGGTAATGGTACTGGTAATGGTTACGGTAATGATAGTGGTAACGGGGTAGCGAGGCAATGACAATGGCAACGGTAATGGTAATGACAATGGCAATGGCAATGACAATGGCAATGGCCATGGCAAAGGTATTGGTAATGGTAAGGGTGAAGGTAAAGGTAGAGGTAAAGGTAATGGTAATGGTGGTAATGGCAATGGCAGTGGTAATGGTAATGGTAATGGGAATGGAAATGGGAGTGGGAATGTGAGATGGAACGGGAATGGACATGATAGTGGTAGTGGTAATGGTAATGGCAATGGCACTGGTAATGGTATTAGGAATAAAAATAAGAATGAGAATGGGAATTCTAATGGTAATGGCAGCGGTAATGGTAATGATAATGGTAATGGGAATGGGAATGGAAATGGTATTGGCAATGGTAATGGTAGTGGCGAATGGCAACGGCAATGGCAAAGGTAATGGTAATGGTAATGGTAATGAGAGAGGCAATGGTAATGTTACTGGTAATGGTAATGGTAACGGTATTGGTAATGGTAACGGGGTAGCGATTGGCAATGGCAATGACAATGGCAACGGTAATGGTAATGGCAATGACAATGGGATTCGCAATGGCAATGGCAATGACAATGATAATGGCCATGGCAATGGCAACGGCAATGGTAAGTGTAATGGTAATAGCAATGGTAGTGGGCATGGGAACGGGAATGGGAATGGGAATGGGAACGGGAATGGAAATGGTAGTGGTAGTGGTGACGGAAATGGGAATGATAAGGGTAAGGGTAAGGGTAAAGGTAAAGGTAGAGGTAAAGGTAATGGTAATGGAAATGATAATGGTAATGGTCATGGGAATGGCAGTGGCAATGGAAATGGTACTGGCACTGGTAATGGTAGTGGCTAATGGCAATGGCAATGGCAATGGCAATGCGAATGGTAATGGTACTGACAGGGGTAATGGTAATGGTACTGGTAATGGTAACGGTAAGGATAGTGGTAACGGGGTAGCGACTGGCAATGGCAGTGACAATGACAATGGCAACAGTAATGGTAATGTCAATGGCAGTGGCAATGGCAATGGGAATTGCAATGGTAATGGCCATGGCAATGGCAATGGCAATGGTAATGGTAATGGTAATGTGAATGGGAATGGGAACGGGAACGGGAATGGGAATGTGAATGGGAATGGAAATGGGAATGGGAACGGGAATGGAAATGGCAGTGGTAGTGGTAACGGAAATGGGAATGGTAAGGGTAAGGGTAAGGGTAAAGCTAATGGTAATGGTAATGGTAATGGCAATGGCAGTTGTAATGGTAATGGTAATGGTAACGGTTTTGGGAATGTGAATGTGAATCGGAGTGGTAATGGTACTGGCAATGGTAATGGTAGTGGCGAATGGCAATGGCAATGGCCATGGTAATGGTAATGGTAGTGGCGAATGGCAATGGTAATGGTCGTGGCGAATGGCAATGGCAATGGCAATGGTAATGGTAATGGCAATGACAGTGGTGATGGTAATGGTATTGGGAATGGTAATGGTGACGGTAACGGTAATGGTAATGGTTATGGCAATGGTAACGGGGGAGCGATTGGCAATGGCAATGGCAACGGCGATGGGAATGGTAATGGTAATGGCAATGGCAACGGCAATGGCAACGGCACTGGCAATGGCAATGGCAATAGCAATGGCCATGGCAATTGTAATGGTCATGGTCATGGTCATGGTAATGGTAATGGGGATGGGAATGGGAATGGGAATCGAAGTGGTAATTGGAACGGGAACGGGAATGGAAATGGTAGTGGTAGAGGTAATGAGAATGGCAAAGGTAATGGTAATGGAAATGGTACTGGTAACGGTAATGGTAACGGCAATGGTGATGGGAATGGGAATTGTAATGGTGATGGCAGCGGTAATGATAATGGTAATGGTAATGGCAATGGTGTTGGTAATGTTAATAGTAGTGGCAATGGTAATGGTAGTGGCTGATGGTAATGGGAATGGTAATGGTAATGGTAACGGTAATGGTAATGGTAACGGGGTGGCGACTGGCAATGGCAATACAATGGCAATGGCAACGGCACTGGTAATGGCAATGGGCAATGGCAATGACAATGGCAATTGTAATGGCCATGGTAATGGCAATGGTAATGTAAAGGTAAAGGTAAAGGTAAAGGTAAAGGTAAGGGTAAAGGTAATGGTAATGTGAATGGGAATTGGAATGGGAATGGGGATGGGAATGGTAATGGTATTGGGAATGGGAATGGGAATGGGAACGGAAGTGGGAGAGATTGAGAGAGAGAGAGAGAGAGAAAACGAGAGAGGAAATATCATAATAATGATGGGGAGCAACGTGAAAGATCGTAAACCATCGTCTGGAACCCACAGGGACTCCACAATCCCCCGGCCTCTGCGCGCCGCCAACCCTAGGCCTCCCAGACGGGGTCGGAGTAGATGGGGTCGAAGGATCGCGCCGCATCGCCGACGCATCGGCGATGCAGCTCGGTGCGGGGCCCGATGCATCGCCGATGTTTCGCCGACGTCGCCAGTGCATCGCCGACGTCGCCAGTGCATGACCGATGCATCGCCGATGTATCGCCGATGCGGCGCGACCCTCTGACCCCATCTACTCCGACCCCATCCAGGAGGCCTCTAAGCCCTCCCCCTCTAGGAGGCCTCTGAACCCTCCCCCTCCCCCTCAGGGGCAGCGATAGTCAGCGAGCGCGGTCCACTACTCGCAAAGTGCCTACATACGCGCAAACATCAGAAAAACACGTTTGTCTCCATGTAATGGACAGTGAATCTCTCGCGGGGGATCCAGACCATTTGCGAGTAGTTTCTGTTCGAGTAGTGGAGCGCGCTTGTCTAGATAGGGGGGGGGATAGGCATTGGGGGGGACGCATCGGCCACCGATCGCCCATTGATCGCCGGTAGGGGTCTGATAGCCCCACCCCGCCGAGGAAGGTGCGGTTTCTTTCTATCGGCGATGCATTGCCGATTCCAGGTCGATGCATCCCCCCCTCTGCCATTCCCCCTCTACCGTTGCCCCTCAAGGCCGAGGGCCACCTGGGAGTCGAGGCGGCGGCCTCGAGAAGACAAGCTCGGCGGCGCGCACGACGGGTTTGCCCCCACCTGCTCGCGCAGTGAAGCAACCCTGAGATCCTCCTCCTCCTCCTCCTCTTCTCCTCCTCCTCCTCCCTCCTCCTCCCTCTTCCTCCTCCTCCTCCTCATCCTCCTCCTCTTCCTCCTCTTCCTCCTCCTGCTCCTCGTTTTCGCCCAGATTCGGGGCCGGAGCCCTCGGAGATCCATCGGGTTTGGAAGATGGTGCAGACAGATGGGGCTTGCGGCTCCAGTCCTGGTCTTCGGCGAGTGTCAGTTTCTCGAGGCCTCGGATCTCAGTGAATCGTGGCGGAAGGCTTTTTCGCAGTCTAAATGTTGACACCAACGCCAATTTCGGCGGTGTGCCTCCACCAAGGGGAAGAAGATCCCGATCTAGGTGATGGTGGTCATAGTCTGGCTTTCAAGGTGGCTGAAATATTTCCACCCACACCGAAATCTAGGATCACCTTCCCCCCAACCCTGTGTTGGTGTTGGTGCCCGTTTCCAGGCCTCCAATGTTTTGCTGTTTTCGGACTCCGGGGGCCCTCGCAGGGGGTCAGGGTCGTCAGAAAACGAGTCGGGATCACCCGAGGCATGCGGCGTCCTGATCTTTTCGGCACGCGGTCCTCGGAAGACCCGGCACCTGCCCCGGGGCCAGTTTCTCGTCCTCGGTCGTTTCTTGACGGTCCGAAGCCTTGGGAGGCCCCCCTCGAGGCCGAAAGTGGAGAAGCACATCCGTCCTGTGTTTGTTCACGACGCGAACCGAAAACATGGTACGGTAGGTTCATGCGGCGATGGCGCGCGCTGGCGACGCCGGCGAAGGCGTTCAAGGTTGAGCTCCGCATGAAAGGCGCGGAAACACCGAAGGACACGGTGCGCCGCGCGACCCGACGGAACTCAGCCTTGAACGATCAGGGCCGCGATCGATTCAGGGTTGAACGATCGACGCGGTGTCAGTAACCTCCGAAAATGTAGTAACACCTCGGTCCCGATTTTTTCACTCGGCGGCGAGCGAGGGGGGGAAGTGAGAAGGAGACGGCGTTCTGAGAAGGTTCGGAAGTCTCCCTGCGTTCTGAGAGAAGGTTACTGGAAGCCTCCCCCGAAGGCACAGAAGGCTTCCAGAAGGCGCGAGGGCTTCTGAGAAGTCCCTGCGCCTTCTTAGAGTCAAGGGAAGAAAACCACCAGGACCCGATAATTGGCGTTTACTACACGGTCTTGGGCGTTTACTAAACAGCCTTGCCCTGTTCGATTCCTTCCCTGGGTGCGTTTACTGAACGGCTTCGCTTGTCGGGGTGATCATTATGGGGGGGGATTTCCTGCCCTCTATAGAGGGCCTCCTCCTTCTCACTTCCCCCCCTCGCTCGCCGCCGATTCACGACGCAAGCATCTCGGGAGGTGTTGAAGGCCTCTCGGGGTCCACGCTGCGGCCTCTCGGAGTTCCAGGGAATTGGTGCGGAGGCTGGGCGGCCTCTTCAAGAAGAGCGGGGTCCCTTCTGAGAAGGCCGGTGGCTTTGCGAACCAGAAGGGGAGCACCTGCTTAATTTCGAAGGAGGAAAACCACAGAAACATAGATTTTTCGCGCTCCGCGCGGATTTCTTGGATCTGTGCTGGTCCCCCCGGCGGCGCCTCTGGCGCCGCCCCTGGCGCGCTCCGCGCGCAGACGAGGGGCGTCCGGCGCAGGTCAAGTAACTCCGCGCGGGATTCCAAAAGTTTCTGTTTATGTGGTTATGGTTCCTCGATGCACACCTGAAATCAGTCGAAAGTTGATGGACCTCCTACCCTGACACGTCGATGAGCGAATTGGCCGTTTTCGGTTCGCGAGAGGGCGTCGCGGTCGTCATTTTTGCGGGTCCAGGTCCGTCGGTTTCGGGCCCAGGCCGTTTTCATTAAAGGGAGGTTTACTGGTTTATTAAAGGGAGGTTTGTCCACCGCCGAATCAGGATCGTTCAACCTGCCCCTGTCCGCATCTCCATCCCCATCCAGACCCCCACCATCTCAGCATCGCAGTTGGGCAGATGGCCATCGAAGCCCTGAGGGAACGGCATATACATGTACACACGTAAATATACATTAATACATACATGCATACATACATACATACATACACATACACATACACATACACATACACATATACATACACATACACATACACATACACATACACATACACATACACATACACATACACATACACATACACATACATGCATGCATACATAAATACATACATACATACAAACATACATACATACATACACACATACACATACACACACATACATACATACATACATACATACATACATCCATCCATCCATCCATCCATACATACATACATACATACATACATACACACAAACATACATACATACATGTGAGTATCTCCATCTAGTTGGGCAAGTCGGCCAGTGGGGCCCAGGCCACGCCCATGGGGATTGGGGGTCGGTTTAACGATCCTCATGAATTCTGATTTTCATGGAAAGAAAGGGGACACATCGGAGATGGAGTGTAAGAGCGAACTCCGTAACACATGAAGGGTGAGAAGGGGGATTGTTGGATGTGTGTCGGCTGGTTGTGTCCTCCTGGGCACCTATTCGCGCCACCCCGTCGCGCGCGCCGCCAGCAAGCACGGCAAGGTTGACGTGCCTGAGTGGCTGAACGCGTCAGAGTACAGAGATGAGCCCCAAGCCTTTGCCCACAAGGTCAGGCTTCTTGCCAACCTCCTGCGTAGCTCCAAGAAAACGCTCGCCTACACGGGTGCAGGTCTCAGCGTTGCTGCAGGGATTGAGATGGCTGCCGTAGGATCGTCCAAGGCCAAGATGGTTTCGCCTTTGGAGGCGTGTCCTACGATTGCCCACTGCGTCATGGCTGAGCTCAACAAGCAGAGCTTGTTGCATGGCTGGGTTCAGCAAAACCACGACGGCCTACCGCAGAAGGCTGGATACAGGCAGGAGGACATCAACGAGATCCACGGCAGTTGGTACGATCCTTCGAACCCAGTCGTTCTCTATCCAGTTGCGCTGCCGCGCACCCACCACCGCGCTCGGGGGAGCTGCGGACGGACGGGGCCAGGACGAGGACAGATCCGTTCCAAAGCGTTCCAGAACGCTCTGAGAAGGCCGCAGCGCCCGACACAACCTCCAGAGCCGCCGGATCTCAGATGTTCTCGATATATCCTCACCCGATGTTCATCTCGTCCTGGCTTCGTCTGACACCGCGCTCGGGGAAGCTGCGGAGCAATGCTGCAAGAGGTCGTCTGCCGAAGAAGGCACCGCTGCACAAGCATCAACTTGGGCAGGCCTGCGCGGATGCCTTGGGGGACGGACGGGCCCCGCTTCCATGGGACATCGCGGATGATCGCCGCCGAGCGAGGCAGCACCGGCCGCATCTTGGGGAGGGCACCTCCCCCGATCCACGGATCTGGCGGCCGCGCGCCAAACCCATGGATCGCGAACCCGCGCCTGCGCGCCCCCCACTCTGGGGGGGCCCCCGTCGGGTGATGCTCCCGGCGCCGACGTCGGGGGGTATGCCAGAGGCCCCCTGGGGGCCCCACGCGAAGCAGAGACGGCCGCGAGCCTCGAGCGCTCCGACGATCCAGGGCGGCATCGGTACTTTTCGGTTTCACCGATGGGGGAAACGGGTCCTCAGGGAGACGGTTCCTGCGGTTTTTCGTCGTCTGTGGCTTCCAGGGAGTGTCAGAGAACGACGAGGGATAAAGACCTCGTCTTGGGGGCAGGCCCCAGGGTCCAGGACCCGTTCTCTTCAGGACCCGTTTCCCCCATGCTATAATTTTGCAGTGTTTGAGGTTACCCGCGGTGGCGCGAACAGAATCGCGCTTCTCGCGTCGCGGCCCAGGCCAGAGCGGCTGCCCTTCCCCGAGAGCGCGAGGACAACCGCGCCTCGCGGGCGCGATGCGCGAAGTTAGGTGACCTGCTATTTGCTGTTTCTTAGCCGAAGAAGAGCGGCTGAATCGACATAAACTTTTGGAGGCCCGTGCGGATCTCTTGGATCGGCGCTGGGTCCCGCCTGGCGTCGCCTCCGGCGCCATCCCTGGCGCGCTCGCGCAAGGGAGGGAGGGCAAGGCACCGATCCAAGAAATCCGTGCGGAGCTTCGAACGTTCGGCTGACGCCGTTCATTTGTCCTCCTGGTGAAGCTGCTCGCCAGCGCTCGGTCTCCCTTGGCTCCTGTGTGTCCAGCGAATGGCCTCTCCTCATAGGAGTGTAGCCGCGTGTGCGCGTGCGTGTGCGTGTGCGTGTGCGTGTGCGTGTGCGTGTGCGTGTGCGTGTGCGTGTGCGTGTGTGTGTGTGTGTGTGTGTGTGTGCGTGCGTGCGTGCGTGCGTGCGTCCGTGCGTGCGTGCGTGCGTGCGTGCGTGCGTGTGTGTGTGTGTGTGTGTGTGTGTGTGTGTGTGTTCTGTCCCGTGCTGCCTCTGAGCTTGCCTGCGCCCTGCGCCCACTCCGCGGCTCTATCCCGACTCCGCTGCGCAGTTGTGCGCGTGGCCGCGACGCCAAAACGTGTGCGTGTGGGTTACGCGCCCTTCCCCAGGGACTCGCCTCCCCGCGCCGGTCCCCGTCGCCCCTGGCCCGCCGACGCAGCAGCCGCCGCGGGCCTTGCGGAGCGGCCGGCAGCGCCACACGCTCGGGGAGCGATCTGACCCCTGAGCCGCCCGCCCCGCCCCTGTTTTCCTTCGGCCGCGTCCTCTCCTCGCTCCTTCTCTGGAGTGGTGGCACAATTCGCTCTAACGGCATCCCCGTTTAAGCCACTCACCGCCAGCGCAGCCCCCCCCTTCCTAGCCGCCGACGCAACAGAGTGTGTGTGTGTGTGTTAGTATTGGCCCGAACCTTGCTCACAATTGACGCAAGATGGCTTCCCTGCCCTGAGGGCCGTAATAGTGTCTTGATTTGTGTTCCCGAGAAGAGAAGCCAAGATCAAGCAAAGGACCCGACACGCAATGGCCGCGGCAAAGCGCGGCAGAGGACAGCGGTAGTCTCCGTGGCGATCTATACAAAGACATGAAGAATTTGGCAAAGACAGCCGATCTTGTGTTGGTCCTTGGTACGTCTCTGTCTGGTCTCAATGCGGACCTATGTGTCACCCAAACTGCTGGCAGATCATTGCCGAATCTGTTTGGCGAAGCTACCTCGCTGGGCTCTGTCATCATCTCACCGCAGCGCACTCCTGAGGATGGGGAAGCCAGTCTCCGCTTTTTCGCCACAGCAGACGACGTCATGGAGGCCTTGGCAAAGGAGCTTCATTTTCGCGTTCCCTCGGATCCTTGGTACAGGATGGCTAGCTTTAGTTCTGAGCTCCGCGTGAAGGTTCCATATGATAAGAATGGAAAGCGGTCCAACAAAGTCCAGACTTGGTGGGATCTTTCCCCGGGATCAAAGCTGACAGTGTCAAAACAAAACAACATCGAAGGTGCACAGCAACCTTCATATTTGCATATCACGCCCACCGTCGAGGGTGAGGTTTTTCTCCTCAACGAGCGGTCGCGCTACATCAGCATTCGCTTCGGAGGTGGCCAAACAGCCATGCAGCTTGGTGTTTGGTGGATTGATGCGGCATTGAGAGGAGGAGTTGATCACCTGCCCGTGGTCAACGTCGGCGCCGTGGAAGAGCCACAGCAGATATTGTCGAGTCAGTGCAGGGCTTGAGCAGCCCATTTTTTCCACCTTACGCTCGTACATGTGTCGGAGGGGCTCGAAATATACGCCACGTCGACTGGACTCGGCGACGGAGCTCGGCTCCAGCGCCCCACATCTTTGGAAGTTGTGGCGTCTGTATACCGAGCTCCTTGGCCACCAGGGGTCTTGGTGTATACTTCGAGCCCCTTCCCAATGTGGATCAGCCACACATCAACAGTGCGTGTTGTTATTTGAAGTCTTCAGCAAGGCTGGTGCGGCCTTTGTACAGCGCACGCGGCACCGGTGGCGTGAGCCGGGGTCCAGAAAAAGGTTGCCCGGTTCTTGAAAAGCGCGTTCGGCAATGCAACACATCGGCCTATCTACGAAGGCTATCGCGCGACTGCGCCATCAGAACGCCGCCCCACCCTACCAAGAATTCGCAGAATCCCGCGAAGATGAGGACCCCAGCAGGAGCCTTCCAGGATCCTGGTAGAATTCTGCATCGAGACGAACGGAACCCCGCCAGGACCTGCCAGGAGTGAGCCAGGACCTTGCGACGAGCCCTCCAGGGCCCTGGACTGGGATTGCTTTGATTTAGGCTGCTTCGTTCGCGGTGGTGTTGTCAGGTTGCGTTGCCGTACGCCCGTACCCATGTAGATTCGATCCGTGTCGGTTCCTCTTGTTGACAGTTTTCCAGTGGTCGAGCCAGTTGTTTTTTGTCATGTTGTGCGCCAGATTGTGGAAACAGAGCCAGGCATAGCAGGATGAGGCTTTCCAAGACACCCTCGGCAACGCACCAATTTAGTTCCCGCGTGGCTAGTCGGAGGCGAGCGTGTGCGATCGCAGTGGAACGGAGAGCTCGGAGAGCCCAGAGCCCCCCACCGGGAAGTCGTGTCGTGCGCGCGGGCAAGGCGAAGCTGCGTGGGCGCGCGAGAGGAATGATGCCGTCGTGACTAGGGGCCGTGGAGCCATTTGACCGCCTCGCCTCTGAGCGCGCGATGGCCCCGGGTGCCCCGCCGCTGGTGCGGGGATGCCCCGCCGGTGGTGCCGGGGTTCCCCGTCGATGGTGCGGGGGTGCCCCGCCGACGGTTCGGGGGTGCCCCGTCGGTGGTGCGGGGGTGCCCCGTCGTTGGCCAGGGTGCCCGGTCGGTGGCGCGATGGTGAGATCGATAGTGAGATCGACAGTGAGATCGAAAGTGAGATCGATGGTGAGGTCAATAGTGAGATCGATAGTGAGATTTGCGGTGATATCGATTGTGAGATCGATAGTGAGGTCGATCGTGAGACCGATTGTGAGCTCGCTCGTGAGATCCTTAGTGTGATCTACAGCGAGATCGATACTGAGATCGATCGTGAGATCGATTGTGAGATCGATTGTGAGACCCGTACTTAGCGAGATCGATGGTGAGGTCGATTGTGAGATCGATAGGGGGGCCGATAGTGAGAATTGTTGTGAGATCGATCGTGTCTCCGAATGTGAGATCGATAGAGTGATCTCGATTGTCGGATCAATGATGATTTCGATTGGGGATCGGTAGAGAGAGATCTGTTGTGAGGTCGATTGTGAGATCGATCGTGAAATTGATCGTGTGTTCGATTGTCAAATCGACTGCGATCTCGATTTCGAGATCGATATTGGGATATGATGTGAGCTCGTAGTAAGATCGATTGTGAGATCGATAATGAGATGTGTTGTGAGATCTACCCTCATGTGTGTTGTGAGATCGATAGTGGGATGGATTTTGAGAGCAATGGTGAGATCGCTCGTGAGATCTAATCTGGGATCGATTGTGAGATCGATACTGAAATCGATTGTGAGATCGATTGAGAGATCGACTGTGAGACCGATCGCAAAATCAATGGTGAGATCGACTGTGGAATCGGTAATGGGACCGGTAGTGAGAACTGTTGTGAGATCGACATTGTGTCCGAATGTGAGATCGATGGTGAGTTCAATTTTCTGTTCGATTGGAGATCGATGTTAACATCTGTTGTGAGGTCGATCGCGAGATCGCCTGCGAGATTGATAGTGGGTTCGATGGTCAAATCGATAGTGAGATGGATTGTGAGATCGATAGGGCGATCTGATGTGAGATTGACCGTGAGATCCATTGTGAGATCGATAGTGAGATCTGTTGTGAGATCGACAATTTGATCGATGCCAGATCGATTGAATCAGACGTTGGTTCTCCTTCCCCTCCGAACCTCCATCTCACCCGAAGGGTGGCCGTATAGGTAGGCACAGCAGCCAGAGAGGAGAGGATGTGGCAGGGATGGCGGGCATCAGACGCTTGATTTTTGTTTTTTGCGACAGAGGGCGGCATCACAAAATAGATCGCAGGCTAGTCTTCGAATATGATCGATGCCGAGCATCCAGGCATAGAGGATGTGAAGGGTGCCGAATAAATGGCCAAGTAGGATGCTCTGATCGTAGGAGCGCTGGCGCATAATACATGAGCCGAAGGCCTCTTCGGCCGTCTTGAGACTCCTTGGGGCCGTCTTGGGCGCCTTTTGGGCCGTTCTGGGGCCATCCTGGATGCCTCTTGGGCGAACTGAGGGTGATCTTTGGGAGCTCTTGGGCTGTCTCGGGCCATCGGAAGGCCGAGAAGAAGCAAATCCCCAAATCCTTCAAACACCGAAGGCTCATCAATGATTTTTTGGCCTCTTCGTGCCTTCCTGGAGGTCCTCTTGGAGGCCTCTGGGGCCGTCTTGGAGACCTCTTCGGGGCTTCTGGGGCTGTCTTGGGCCATCTTGGAGCCATCTTGGGCCGTCTTCATGGGTCCGACGCCGTCGGAAGCCGTCTTGGGGGCCTCTCTGGGCCGACTTGGGGCCTTCTTGGGGTGCTCCAGGGCCGTCTTGGAGGCCGTTTCGATTTGCTGCCGCGAGGGGTTCTGCGATGCGACGGGCTAGTTGCATTGTACGCCCGCTGCCATTTCGGATACGAGCCAGCTTGAGGCGATCTGTTTCCCCGACAGTGCAATTCGACAAAGAGCTGCGATCCCCCCCAGCGCTGCCGCGCTCGCCGCCATATCCTGTTGTGGAACCACGGGGGAAGGATCACCAGAAACCATCGGTTCCGCAGCAGGTACCTTCGGGCTACTCAGGCAAGCGCTCTTGCAGGTAGCTCCGGGCGCCCCAGGGAGGCGTATAGTACGTGCAGGTGCCTTCGGGCTGCCCAGGACAGCGTACTGGCACGTACACTGCGTGCACGGGGGCGGGCTCGGCCGTCCTGGGCTCCGATGAGCTGCTGTTCGTTCAACAGGGTCGGAGCTAGGTGTGCAGTGCAGGCAATGTTGGATGGTGTGAGATCTTCCCGATTGGCCCATGACGGGTTGCCATGGCCCGCCTCGTGTTCTGAAGCAGTTGTTGCAAGATCTCAATGGGCACCTCCTCGTTGCTATGGCTGCTCCGGCCTTGGAAACTCCTCGGGCTTGGGCCAGCGGGGACCGTTGTCGGGAGCAGCAGGTTCTGCATGGGTGGCGTCAAGGGTGGGCGCCGTAAAGCTCGCGGAGGTCTTTGGTAAGCCCACGCGTAAGGGACTGGACGTCCTCCGTCGATTCGGGCGTGGCCTCGGACCGAATATGCTTGTGCGTGAGATCAGGGATGAGGCGTTGCCGGCGTCACGACTCGAGGGTGCAGGTTTTGGTTCCTCTGAGCCTGAGTCCAATGTCACCTCAGTCCCACTAGCTTTTTCGGACGCCCCGTCGGCCCCCCCCACGTGAGCAGAGAATGGCGGCGTTGCCTGCCATAGTCAAGGCTAAAGGAACGGCTGCGAGGGCAGCCAAGGAGGGTAGAACTCGGGTTGATTTTCTCCATGCTGTTGGTGCTGTCATGTCACGATCTTTCAAGGCGCTGTCCACCCATCCTCCTCCTCCGCCTCCTCCTCCTCCTCTCTCCCACCCGCCTCCGCCTCCCCCTGCTCCCCGTCCTCCCTCCTTCCCTTCCATATCCTCCTTCTCCTCCTCCTCCTCCCTCCTCCTCCTCCTCCTCCTCCTCCTCCTCCTCCACCTCCTCCTCCTCCTTCTCCGCCTTCTCCTCGTCCTCCTCCTCCCCCTCCTCCTCCCCAACCTCCTCCTCCTCCTCGTTCTCCTCCTCGCCCCTCCTCTCCTCCTCCTCCTCCTCCTCCTCCTCCTCCTCCTCCCCCTCCCCCTCCCCCTCCCCCCTCCCCCTCCCCCTCCCCCTCCCCCCCCTCCTCCTCCTCCTCTCCTCCTCCTCCTCCTCCTCCTCCTCCTCCTCCACCCCCTCCTCCTCCTCCTCCCCTCCTCCTCCTCCTCCTCCCCCCCCTCCCCCTCCCCAACCTCCTCCCCCTCCACCTCCCCCTCCCCCTCCCCCTCCCCCTCCTCCTCCTCCTCCTCCTCCTCCTCCTCCTCCTCCTCCTCCTCCTCCGCCTCCTCCTCCTCCTCCTGCTCCCCTCCTCCTCCTCCCCCCTCCTCCTCCTCCCCCTCCCCCTCCCCCTCCCCTCCCCCTCCCCCTCCCCCTCCCCTCCCCCTCCTCCTCCTCCTCCTCCTCCTCCTCCTCCTCCTCCTCCTCCCCTCCTCCTCCTCCTCCTCCTCCTCCTCCTCCTCCTCCTCCTCCTCCTCCTCCTCCCTCCTCCCTCCCCCCCCTCCCCCCTCCCCTCCCCCTCCTCCTCCTCCTCCTCCTCCTCCTCCTCCTCCTCCTCCTCCTCCTCCTCCTCCTCCTCCTCCTCGTCCTCCTCCTCCTCCTCCTCCTCCTCCTCCTCCTCCTCCCTCCTCCTCCTCCTCCTCCTCCTCCTCCTCCTCCTCTCCTCCCTCCCCCTCCCCCTCCCCTCCCCCTCCTCCTCCTCCTCCTCCTCCTCCTCCTCCTCCCTCCTCCTCCTCCTCCCCTCCTCTCCTCCTCCTCCTCCTCCTCCTCCTCCTCCTCCTCATCCCCCCCTTTTTCCTCCTTTGCCTCCTCCTCCTAGTCCTCCTTCTCTTCCTCTGCCATACCAATCCACGCAGTTCCCTTGTCGAGTCGAAGCGGGGACATTTTACGGCGCGGAGTTTTTGGCTTCGTTTGTGCCAGGTTGGCGGGCAGATTCGGTTCGCTTGAATAACGCGCAGTATGAGGCGGCCAAGCTGCTGCTGGGCCTGGGGGGCAGGTCTCCTTCTGGACGGGGGGGCACGCGCGGGCGCCGGCCGAGACGAGGATGCGAACGCGCAGGGGTGCCAAGTTGTTGCAGCGCATTGCCCTGGCTCGCGCGCGTCTGCTGGCGTTGCCTGCCGCCAATCCGGTCGCACCTGCGGTCGCTGGTTCTCGGCTGGTCAGCGGCGCGACGTGGCTCGACCACGCGGCGGAGGTGACAGAGCACTTGCAGTTGCGTTCCGATTTTTCTGCCGATCGGCTTAGCGAGGTTCAGCGTGCCTCCCCGCAGGCGCGGAAGCGGGTGGTGTCACAGGGGAAGCACCAGGTCCTGATTCCAGCTGTGCGCGCGCAGGAGCAGGCATGGTTTTTGCTCCAGTTGGCTGCCCAAAGTAGGAGGGCCTGATCCTGTATCGCGTGATGCTGCCGCTACGGCCGCCGCTGGCTCTGGGTCTCCGCTGGGCGCCATGGGGGGCAAGTATGTGGAAGTGCTTTCGGGTTTGGTCAGTGGCCCGGGTGACGGCGCGCGTGCTTGCAGAGGTGTGGTGGCCAGAACATGGCGCTACGACAGCCGAGTGTGCCCGTTGTGCGGCATGTTGCCTGGGGCGCCCGCGGTGTCTGGCGCAGGCCTCAGGCATTTGCTCGGCGAGCGCGTGGAGCCGCATGGGCTGCGCGACGCGTGCAGTGGTGCCTGGGGGCCAGCCGGCTGCCTCTGGGCGCTGGAGGACACATTGGACCTGCCAGAGTTGGCGGAGAAGTACAAGTTCGTGGACCTGGCCGCGAGGGCATGGGCGCAGTACGTGCGGGGGCATGCAGGCGGCGGCGGCGGCGGCGAGCGCGCGAGCCTGGCCTGACGGAGGGGCTCCCGCTAGAACTCCTCCCGCCCCCCAGCCGCGATGGCCCGCAGGCCCACGGGCGGAGACGCACGTGACGGGGGGTGCTGCAGTCTGAGGGCCAGATTTGGTGATGGAGCCCTCGAGCAATGCAGCCGCAGCCCTCCTCCTCTTCCTCCTCATCTTCCTCCTCCTCCTTCTCCTACTTCGTCTCCTCCTCATCCTCCTCCTCCTCCGGCTCCTCCTCCTCCTCCTCCTCCTCCTCCTCCTCCTCGTGGAAGTCCTGAGGCCTCCGCCCAGCCCCGGCCTCACCCCCCAGGACGAGAACGAGCTGCTCGGCGAGGGCGCGTTCGCGGTCGGCGCCCCGGGCCGCTGTCGCCGCCGTGGCGGCCGCAGTGGCCGCCGTGGCCGCCGTGGTCGTGGTCGTCGTGGTCGTCGTCGCGGTCGTCGTCGCGGTCGTCGTCGCGGTCGTCGTCGCGGCCGTTGTGGCGGTCGTCGTCGCGGTCGTCGTCGTCGTCGTCGTCGTCGTCGTCGTCGTCGTCGTCGTCGTCGTCGTCGTCGTCCTTGTCGTCCTTGTCGTTATCGTCGTCGTGACGTCGTCGTCGTCGTCGTGCCGTCGTCGTCGTCGTCGTCGTCGTCGTCGTCGTCGTCGTCGTCGTCGTCGTTGTCGGCGGCGGCGGTGGCGGTGGCGGCGGCGGTGGCGGCGGCGGCGTAATTGTCGTGGCTGCCGTTGTCGCCGTCGCCGCAGCGGTCGCCATCGCCGGCTGTCGTGGCCGTGGTTGTGGTTTCGGTGGTGGGCGTCGTCGCCGTGTCTCCCGGCTTCCTCGGGGGGGGGGGCGGCGGCCCAGAGCTTTCTGGTGGCC